GTCAAGGTCTATCTGAGTTCATATTTTGGCATGTGGAGTATTTCTACCAAGTTTTGTCTAGAGATCCTTCATAGTTTGTGTCCACAGTGCTCTCTGGATGTAGATGAACTACAACTCCTAAATTCAAGGTCCATGCTCACCAAACCCTTCTAGTGTTTTCTGTTGCTCATGGGAGTCCTGTGTGCCAAGTTTGGTTCAATTCCATCGTTGGTGGAGTTCGGAATGCTCTTTGATTGTAGGTGAACTATAAATCCTGGCAACTACAACTTCCAAATTACAAAATCAATTTTTTTAGTGATGATCACTCCTTGGGTTAGTCTTGTGGCCAAATTTGATGGCAACTAGTCCAGCGGTTTTTGAGTTGTCACTCAAAACGAACAGAGCATTTATATATAGATAGAGAGGACTCAGTGAAATTCAATAAATGTGATAAGTGGATAATATTGATGATCCTCAACCTAGGACCTCCGATGACTCTTCTTTCCTTCTTCTACAGGCAGAATTTGGCTGGACAATGTGCACTGTACCGGCAGAGAAACATCATTAGCTCAGTGCAGATCCAATGGCTGGGGGGTAACGGACTGCAGGCATACTGAGGACGTGAGTGTCATTTGCAGCAACAAGAGAATCCCGGGCTTCACATTTGATGACACCTGGCCCAACCAGGTAAGAATTATTTCGAATCGGAAGGCTCAAGTTCATTTAGCACATGATGGATTGCTGTCCAAGGCATCATATTCAGATTCCATTTGGAAACGGGATGGGCAAACAGTAGTTTGTGGGTCACACGCACATTGCTATTGGAGGAAAACATTGCTGTTGGAGGAACATATCTAAGGTCAAACCTATGATAACATAAGACCTGTGTCACAAAAATTTAATGTGCAGATTTTATAAATGTGAAGTTAATATGATGTGCGGGAATGAATGGAAGATGAATGTATGGATGGAGCTAATAATTTTGGAGACACTACTATAATATTAAGGCCTGCAGTGACCTGCTTGCTGGATTGTGATTAAAACCTGCTAATGAGAACTGAAAAGTAAACTCTGATAAGAGTTGGGACAGTGATAATAATTTTGGAGACACCAGTTTAATATGAAGGTCTGCAATGACTGACTATCTGCTTGCTGGATTGTGATTAAAACCTGCTAATGAGAACTGAAAAGTAAACTCTGTTAAGAGTTGGGACAGTGATAATAATTTTGGAGACACCAGTATAATATGAAGGTCTGCAATGACTGACTATCTGCTTGCTGGATTGTGATTAAAACCTGCTAATGAGAACTGAAAAATAAACTCTGATAAGACTTGGGACAGTGATAATAATTTTGGAGACACCAGTATAATATTAAGGCCTGCAATGACTGACTATCTGCTTGCCGGATTGTGATTAAAACCTGCTAATAAGAACTGAAAAGTAAACTCTGATAAGAATTAAGACAGTGATAACAGAAATGTTTACAACGTTAAGAAGGAAGTCAACACAAGCCTTGCGTTTGTTAACAACAATCAAGAAGATCAACATCTGGCCTGAAATCAATGTTAATGTGCAGATTTTATAAATGTGAATTTGATATGATGCGTGGGAATGAATGTAAGAATGGAAGATGAATGTATGGATGGAGCTAATAATTTTGGAGACACCAGTATAATAATAAGACCTGCAATGACTAAATACTTGCTTGCTGGATTGTGATTAAAACCTACTAATAGGAACTGAAAAGTAAACTCTGATAAGAGTTGGGACAGTGATAATAATTTTGGAGACACCAGTATAATATGAAGGACTGCAATGACTGACTATCTGCTTGCTGGATTGTGATTAAAACCTGCTAATAAGAACTGGAAAGTAAACTCTGATAAGAATTGAGACAGTGATAACAGAAATGTTTACAATGTTAAGAAGGAAGTTGACACAAGTCAACAGCAACCAAGAAGATCAACATCTGGCCTGAAATCAATGTTAAGGGACCAATCCTGGGACAGGAAAGTGATTTTGGTTCCAAATAAAGGAGCCCTTGGTGGCGAAGTGGTTTAAACCGCTGAGCTGCTGAACTTGCTGACCAAGAGGTTGGCGGTTCAAATCCGGGGAATGGGATGAGCTCCCGCTGTTACAGGATGAGCTCTCACCCCAGCTTCTGCCACCCTAGCAGTTGGTAGCAAGGTGGGTTAAACCACTGAGCTGCTAAATTTGCTGACCAAAAGGTCGACGGTTCGAATCTGGGGAGCGGGGTGAGCTCCTGCTGTTCGCCCCAGCTTCTGCCAACCTAGCAGTTCAAAAAATGCAAATGTGTGTAGATCAATAGGAACCACTCCGGCAGGAAGGTAACGGCACTCTATGCAGCCATGCCAGCAACATGACCTTGGAGGTGTTTATGGACAATGCTGGCTCTTCGGCTTAGAAATAGAGATGAGCACCAACCCCTAAAGTCGGACATGACTTAAATCAATGTTAAGGGACCAATTCTTGGACAGGAAAGTGATTTTGGTTCCAAATAAAGGAGCCCTTGGTGGCAAAGTGGGTTAAACCACTGAGCTGCTGAATTTGCTGACCAAAAGGTCAGTGGTTTGAATCCGGGGAGCAGGGTGAGCTCCTGCTGTTAGCCCCAGCTTCTGCCAACCTAGCAGTTCAAAAACATGCAAATGTGAATAGATCAATAGGGAAGGTAACGGCACTCCATGCAGTCGTGCCAGCAACATGACCTTGGAGATGTCTATGGACAATGCCGGCTCTTCGACTTAGAAATGGAGATGAGCGCCAACCCCCAGAGTCGGACATGACAAGAGTTAATGTCAGGGGAAAACCTTTACCTTACCAAATGATTAGAAGTGACTATATGATTGTAGAAAGGGCTAACCAATCTATAGTCAGCATAGGAGGCTGGCATAATGGCGTAGAGTTGTTTTTCCGGCCAGTCACAATCTCTAATGCCAGCTTGTCTAGGAAAGAGGGAAAACTTGGTTGCAACTGGTTCTCTGTATCCATGAGTTTGACCAGCCATGGCTCAAAATATTTTTCTAAATACCCAAAAGCAAACCTTGATTACGTCACTTTATATAAGTCAGTGGTTCTCAACCTTCCCAAAGCCGTGACCCCTTAATACAATTCCTCATGTTGTGGTGACCCCCAACCATCAAATTATTGTCCTTGCTACTTCATATCTGTCATTTTGCTATTGTTATCAATCGCAATGTAACTGTCTGATATGCAGGATGTGTTTCCATTCACTGGACCAAATTTGGCACAAATACCCGATATGCCCAAATTTGAATACTGGTGGGGTTCATGGGGGGTTGATTTTGTCATTTGGGAGTTGTAGTTGCTGGGATTTATAGTTAACCTAAAACCAAAGAGCATTCTGAACCCCACTAACAATAGAATTGGGCCAAACTTGGTACACAGAACTCCCAGGTTCAACAGAAAATACCAGAAGGGTTTGGTGGGCTTTGACCTTGAGTTTTGGAGTTGTAGTTCGTCTACATCCAGACAGCACTGTAGTCTCACACAATGATGGATCTGGACCAAACTTGGCACGAATCCTCAATGTGCCCAAATGTGAACACTGGAGGAGTTTGGGGAAAATAGATCTTGACATTTTGGAGTTGTAGTTGCTGTGATTTATAGTTCATCTACAATCAAAGAGCATTCTGAACTCCACCAATGATGGAATTGAACCAATCTTGGCACACAGAACTCCCATGACAAACAGAAAATACTTGAAGGGTTTGGTGGGCATTGACCTCAAATTTTGGAGTTGTAGTTCGCCTACATCCAGGGAGCACAGTGGACTCAAACAATGATGGATCTGGACCAAACTTGGTACGAATTCTCAATTTGCCCAAATGTGAACACTGGTGGAGTTTGGGGAAAAATAGACCTTGACATTTGGGAATTGTAGTTGTTGGGATTTATAGTTCACCAACAACCAAAGAGCATTGTGAACTCCACCAAGGATAGAATTGGGCCAAACCTCCCACACAGAACCCCCATAACCAGCAGAAAACACCGTGTTTTCTTATTGTCTTTGGTGACCCTTTTGGCACCCCCAAATGTCCCGACCCCCAGGTTGAGAAATGCTGATATTTATTACACCATTGTATATAATGGGACCAGAGCACCCATTGATTTTGACACCCAACCCAGGGCTGACTGTACTCTGAAAGTTGACTCAGTTTGAAGTTTAGGTACTCCTCTTCTACAAGCCCAGGGAAAGTGTGAGCTTATGTCAATGTGAATTATTGCCCCGACCCTAAACTTGCCTATCTTTCGGTCTGCTTTATTAGGGGATCACCAAATATGGTTAGAACATCTCTTTATCTTCCCCTTCCGATGATTCGGAAACATCTTTTAATCCTCAAGGGCATCCCCTTGGGAAAGATGCCATGTGAGACTCATGGAATGTCCAAGACGGCTTTGATGGTCATTGACTTTCTCAAGCGGAGGCTGAGAGAGGAAACACAGAGCAGTCTAGACAGAGGTCATATCTCCTTGGGATGCTTCTAATATTAATCATTCAAGCCAGCTGTCCTGCCTCGGTTTTGTTTTCCATTTGCTAAGGACTAATGTCCATGAGGTTAATTTAAGGCCAGTTATGATTATTTGTCGTGTCAGGGCAACCAGTCAATTGTATTACATTTCTAACAGAACAAACAAACAGACAAAATACAAAATTTGCAAGTTTGGTAGTTGATTAAATGTCCTTTGACCAGTATCTGGCCACTTGGAGTGCCTCCGGTGTTGCCGCAAGGAGGTCCTCCATTGTGCATGTGGCAGGGCTCAGGTTGCATTGCAGCAGGTGGTCAGTGGTTTGCTCTTCTCCGCACTCGCATGTCGTGGATTCCACTTTGTGGCCCCATTACTGAAGGTTGGCTCTGCATCTCGTGGTGCCAGAGCACAGTCTATTCAGCGCCTTCCAAGTCGCCCAGTCTTCTGTGTGCCCAGGGGGGAGTCTCTCATTTGGTATCAGCCATTGATTGAGGTTCTGGGTTTGAGCCTGCCACTTTTGGACTCTCGCTTGCTGAGGTGTTCCAGCTAGTGTCTCTGTAGATCTTAGAAAACTATTTCTAGATTTAAGTCATTGATGTGCTGGCTGATACCCAAACACGGGATGAGCTGGATATGTCTCTACCTTGGTCCTTTCACTATTGTCTGCTACTTCCCGGCGGATGTCAGGGTTAATGATTAAACAGTTAATGATTAAGCAGTTATGATTAAACAGTCAAGACCAGGCATGGGCAAACTTGGGCCAAGAGAAAACACAGGAAGGGTTTGGTGGGCATTGACCTTGAGTTTTGGAGTTGTAGTTCACCTACATCCAGAAAAAACTGTGGACGCAAACAATGATACTCAATATGCTGAAATGTGAACACTGGTGGAGTTTGGGGAAAACAGACCCTTGTCATTTGGGAGTTGTAGTATCTGGGATTTATAGTTCACCTACAACCAAAGAGCATTCTGAACTCCACCAACGATAGAATTGGGCCAAACTTCTCACACAGAGCCCCCATGACCAACAGAAAATACTGTTTTCTGATAGGCTTTGGCGATCCCTCTGACATCCCCTTGCAACCTCCCCCAGGGGTCCCGACCCCAGGTTGAAAAACACTGACCTAGATACTTGGGAAGTTTCCGACGTGTGATCCAATACAACAGCCAGCAGAG